TGAACAAAGTTGTTATGCGGGTCCATTCATCACCTACTAGGCAATGCGGGGGAGCAAGTAATGGTACACCCTCCTTAACACTTAGCCAGCATCGTGTTAGAACCAACACCTCGTTTGTCGTCCATGGTCGTTCAGAATTGGAACCAGGTACTTCATTCGAAGAAGTTGCTGCATTCGACGACATTTCTAAATATGGGAGTTGGTTTCGTTTATGTGATATGGGTGTTTGGTTTGTAGATCTTAAACATCTATTTATATTAATAAATACAGGACTATGAATTACAACTTTGACTACAAAATGGTTGCATTTGGACTATGATTTGCAGGTTACTGCAGTGACTTATCATGTCAAACAGTCATTTATGTCTTGTCACTTCAGAGTTTGACTACGATTTGCAGGTTACTACAGTGACTTGTCATTAATGTGTAGTCATTTCAAAGTTGGACTATGAATTACAACTCTGACTACGAAATGGTTGCATTTGGACTAGTATGTATAAATACCACTTATAGCACCAGTTTATTATAATCTCGACTTTATTATGAGTTCCTCACAAAAAATTCAAAGTTTGCTCATGCAACGAAGTAGATTGTTACTACTGTGATTCAGTCAAACCCTTTTTTTACACCCTCTTCCGCCGGGTCATATATGTCAGATGAAAATTTTGAAGAATTGAAGAAGGCTGAAGAACAACAAGAACAGGACAAAGAGCCATCCCGACTTCTCACTCAACGTGGTAATGATATTGCATCGGAATGCAAACAAGCTCAAGAATGGATAGACCTCAATAAAAACAAAATCAAAGAGCATGAAGAATGGATAAAAAAGACTAAGAAGGCAATCAAAACGACTGAAAAATGGCTTGCTGAGAATGAAGAGCAGTTGATACACATTAGGGTGCAAAAGGATTGTTTGGAAGATAAAATGAGAATTGGGGATGACTATATAACAATCGAGAAAGAGAAGTACCCATTGCAGTTCCCTGAGTTTAAAAATTAGTTACAAAAATGTTGTAATATTATCATGATACACCTTAGGGTGCAAAAGGATCATTTGTTGTTTTTTTTTAAATAACATCTTGTAATTGTTATAATCTGCAAACTAAATATTATAATATAAAAGCTTCATTAATTGTTATAATCTGCAAACTAAACTAAAATATGAAAGCATAGCAATGTCTTATAAGATTTAATACAAAAATTAAAATACATAATAAGTTAACAACTCTTCATTTCAAGGTTGTTTTATATCAAAATCAGCGTCATAGGTTTGTGAGCAACTCGCTGAACCACCAATATTAAATGCCATTTCTGCAGTAGAAATTGTCGTGCGACGTGCTCCACTACCGGACTCCCTTCCAGTACAATTGTTTCTCGTGTGTCCTAGTTGACCACATGTAGAACACTCTTTTCTAATTGGACTCTCGCCTTGGGATGGAATGCGGTCTGTGTTTCTTGGCCTGCCTGGCTGACGTTTATCCATTATAGGTGGCTTAACAATCATCAAATCATCGGGGATATCCCATTCGGATGGCTTTAGCAAAGGGTTTATTGATTCCTCATACGTTTTCCTCAGTGTTTCGGTAAAGTAAGCATTTAATGCATACCTCGAGCAGTCTTGGTAATTGTTCACTGTTAAACATCTTATGACATGACCACAAGGTATCCCATCAAGTTGCCAATGCCTACATGTACATGTCATATGTTGGAAATCAACAATCACGTTTTGTGCCCCCTTTTTGACCTCGCATTTCGTATTTGAGATCATGCGAACATCCCACTTACTAAAAGTTTTTTTGTTTTCTTTTACAATATCATCGATCCAAGGGGTGAGTGTTGTTGTTGCTTCCGCTAAAAAAACAGGCAAAATGAAGAAGTTAAGATCAATAACATTTAATAAAACATTAATATTAAAAATTAACTTAATACCTGCAAAGTTACGTCTTTGAAACCACCACTATTGCATTGTTGCACAAAAAAAAACCGATCAACATAAGTATCGGCACCTTACGTGTGTGTCTATATAATGCATTTATAGACTCCGCACTGTTGGACGACATAAGATTGTATCGGTTCCCTCTAAAATGTGCCCTAGACCAAGTTTCTGGATTTATACTTTTTAAGTACTCCTATACTGGTTCTTTTGTCTTTTTCATAACATCCATGTCAGCGTCAAAAGCATCAACTGTGTACGCCCTACAAGCCTCCCAAAAAATTCCTTTAACTGTGCTACTCTTCCCGAATCTAGATACTATATTGAAATACAAATGGACACCACATATTCCGTGATGAGCGTGAGGAAAAATGTTGGCAACGGATGTTGCTATAGATGGAGACCTATCAGATATAATTGTAAGCTCCTGCATATTGCCTATGCAATCACGTAGTTTTTGAAAAAACCATGTCCAAGAATCTGTACACTCATTTTTGCATATACCATATGCAACCGGTAATATTTGGTTTTGTCCGTCCTTAGTAACTGCAAGTAACATGGTACCTTTGAACTCGCCCTTTAGGTGTGCTCCATCTACTACAAGGGTCGGTTTACAAAAATTGACAAAAACGCGTACCTACAATACATTGTATATCTATTCAAATACACCAAAATAAAAATGAAAAAAATAATAAAATATTAAAATACTAACCGATCAACCAAGTGCGACATACAAAAACTCAAAGCGATCATCACCATCTGTTTTAATATGTGTCACCGTACCCGGATTATGTTTGACCAAATTGTGGAAATAAGCCGGAAGTTTGGTAAAAGAATCCTCTTTCGTACCCCTTAACAACAACAATGCATATTGTTTCGCACACCATGCCTGATGGTATGAGATATTGATATTCAATTGAGCATTCATATCATTAATAATATATTTTCCCCGATAAACTCTACTATAATCTTCAGCCAAAACATCAGCAAGATATTCACCCAAAACATATTTGTTTGCTTGTCGATGATTAGGTTGCAAAATTGTTGAAGAACATGTGTGTACATCAACAAATTTATTCACTTGGAAAAGTCCATCAGAATTTTTAATTGCTTTTGCTCTTAGTAACCAAGAACAATTTTTCGAAACATACACAACCTCATACCTTGATTTGGTGGATCTACTTGTCCTCGTCTGAAAACCTTCTCGAAGGCATTTTTTACCATACACCACTTTAAAAGTTCTTTGTTCTTAAATATACTCTCACATTCAATCTTTTGAAGATTGATGTCTACCATTTGTGTTGGGATATCTTCATTAATATCAACTGGGCATGCTGGTACAGGGGGCATACCGTAAAAAAGGTTATCGGGAAACTTAGCTTTAACTTCATCACCCAACTCATCTCCATCTGAATTGTTTTGTAAGTCGGTTATATCTAAACGTACATCAGCAACATCAACATAATCCCCGTAAACATGTTTTTTTTCATCTTTTTGACGCAAAAAAAATTTCTTTTTACTTTTATCTACTACACGACTATTCATAACTTTAACTTCTTGTTCGGGAACATCAACACAACGACCACCCACGTCATTAAGATATGTACCAACATCATCATCACCAACATACTTGTAATTCTCAGGATCCACATAGTGAATAGGTGAATAACTAACATTAACATTTTCAGCAACACTGTGAAATTGAGGTACACTAGGAGTATTGAAAGTACCTATCGGATTGTTGCTCCCTTTATAGTTGCATAAATTACCAACCGACTGATTTCCACTCTGACCAGCCTCATTAACCTCATCTCCTTCATCAACCACCACAAACACTTTCATAGCCCTTCCTCCGCTACATTTGATTACATTTATCAACATTCTAACATCCATGTCTTCAACTATAACTATATAATAATTCAATTCAGGATGATGGAAACGAAGACTAATTTTATATTTGTCTAACAAACCAATTTTGTTTCTCATCAAAGATACAAAATCACTATAACTAATATACTCAGAAAATATCAAAGCGAATTCAGAAATACCTCCATGTGGACATACGTATTCCAGATTTGTTTCAATAACTTGCCATCTCCCACCGGTTACAAGACAAACCAAATATTCAATCATTTTTTAGAGAGATTTTAAAGAAATTTCCTAAAGAAATAACAACTAAACTGATAATTTTTTACAAAAGTTTATATATAATAAGGTTATTTCGTAGTCAAACCCATTGATTTCATAGTCAAAATTAAAAAAAATTAAAAAAAAAACATAAATTCGCAGATGAAAGAGAGAGGAAATCGCAGATGGACACAATCCATCTGCGATTTTAGCATGGTAAACCCCTATATATATACAAAAAATTTTTTATAAAAAATACCCCACCTGCGAATGTACAAGTGGCTAAAACACAACTGTACTTTAGCCACTTGTACATTCGCAGATGGGATGTGAAAATCGCAGATGGATCATTCCCATCTGCGATTTATGTGGCCAAATTTGCAATTTCAATTTTTTTTTGCTATTTTCTACAAAGTAATTAATATATTTTGCTATTTTTGTCATTTTCTCTTTAAAATATTCTGTGGTGCTAACCTAATTTTATGAAAGCGGGTCTAAAAGATAAATTCCAAAGTAAAACAAAGTTAACATTTTATATAAATTTTTGGTTTGTTTAGACAATTTGAGCTCGAGCTGAGTTTAAGCTCGATTAGTTTTGACTACTAAACGAGTTGAGCCCAAGCCATCTCGAGTTTGATAGATTTTTTATAGGCTAAGCTTATGTGTGGTTGGGCTCAGGCTTGACTGAGTTGACTCGTTTGCAATATAAACAACAAATTAACAATGGAAGGTTGAAATATGTTTTTAACCGTATTTGAGATTTTTATAGATCATATGCATGCATCCATGTGTATGTATGTATGTATGATGCATTATAACATTTAGAATCTAGAAGTAGGGGTTCCTAGGGTAAACCAAAAGCAACCACATGTTGATTTCATACCTTGCTTGCATCCGAGCATCTAAACCTAGCTAACCAAGCTATCCCATACCCTTTTCCCCATCTCATTATCTCTCCCCTCTCATCCAATTCTTCTTCATTTTCACACCATGGGTTTGGTAATGAGCTTCATGGGAAAAGGTAAACATTTTTATCATTACTATTTTTTTATGAAATTTGGTTAAAAAAAAGGGTAATAATATTATGGACGTTTTGGTAGGTTTGCCAACTACCCAAATGTTGAGTCTTGTGATGGGCACACTCTACAGCAAATTCATCGAAAAAGAAATCAAGACCTTTGATGACTTCCATTTTGCCATCCTTGATATGTTCAAGTAATAATAAAAAAAATCCGTGTATTTATTTTGTTTTTATTTATTTATTAACAAAAATTCATTCCAAATTCGTTTAAATGCAGCACAATCAATGCAGCATTGCCGGGTAAACACTACGATGTTCCACCACCCAACCAAGTTCAGGTAACACAATTTCTCTCCATGCCACAAATATAAAATTGGGCTAAACGGAAAAAAAGCAACATATCTATTTTCATTTTTTTTTTAAATGAGCAGGACATTTTCAAAAAATGGGAAGGAGCAAAAGAGGCATCAGAAAAAAAGAAACTGTTCATTGATTTCATGAAGACGAGTGTAAGCCTAAGCAAGTTTGATGACTCAACTCTCATCACCGGACTAGTTACGCCGCCAGCAGCCATGGCGGCAAAACGAGCGGGCGAAAGCTTGCCACAGCTGAGCATGATCAAAGTGGTCCCGGATGTCATATTTGTGCCTGCTGCAACCGTTTTGGCTCTCATCTCAGCTAAGCTCTCCAAAAAGATGTTCTTGGGAAATGTCGCATCATAATTATTAAATTACTGTATTTCCAAACCCAATCCCTCTTATTAAAACATTTTACTTTGAAAAATCTTAACCAACTATGCCATATGCAAAAGTCATTTGATCTGATCTACTAAAAAACATATACATATATAATTATATATATCTTCAAAAATTGTACTAAAAAGACAATAGTATTGAAGTTGGTATTTTCCACCACAAAATATTCAAGTTATGAAGCTTTTTTATTCACAAGAAAAATAAGAAAACAGGTTAGGGGATGTACAAAAGATGATGTCATCAGAGTCATTCTTAGAGCCTAACCTGAGTTTCTTCGGGTCCATAGGCTCGACCCGCTCTTTCGTCTTGCTCTACTCGCTCTCTTTTTCTTGTTTTTTGGCGCGCTTAATTTCGAAACTGACCGGATTTTTAGAGCCGGTTCTTCTTCATTCTGGCTTGAAGAGTTTTCAGAAACCAAGGGCGAATCCGTCTTTTTGCTTATTTCTTCCTTGGCTGCCTCCAGCTTCTCCATTGGATGAATCTTTACTCCCCCAGAATCCGTTTGTGGCTTCTTTGCTCTGCGGTTGTATATCAGAATCCCATCCGTACTCTGCATAAACAAAAAAAAAAAACCATATCCAAATGAATATTATATGTTTACATTAGTTAAAAAAGACATAAACGCCCTCCTCATCCTAAACACACTCACCCGTTTTCTTGCATCAACAAGAGGCTCTTCCATGGGTCTATTTACATCTTGAAGACGACTCCCCTCTCCATCATTCGCACCTTCATTTTCATGTTTCACCATATCATCATCAACATCATCATCATCATCATTATCATTATCACCCGTGTTGAATTTCATCAGCTGAGATGCAAATGAAGCAACTGCAGATTGTCCGCCTTTACTTTTTGGAAACTTTGATTGCAACACATTATTAGCTTCATGCAAGTTGATCTCCTCCATGGATGGAAACCTTCCAGCATTTTCAGTCATAATAGATTCAAGTTTAGTAGCCATGTCACCAACTCGTGTCTCTGCAACTTCAATCTTCCAAAGAATCTGTTCCAATGAATAATCATCTCTGAAATCAAGAGATAATAGTTCATCTGGAACCCTAAACTCGTTAACAACATTATTGTCAGTGGAAGTAGCTGCCACTAAAAAACAATAAAAGAATGAAACTTTTAGTCCAAATGTGTAATGAAATCATAATAAAGATCAACCGAGAGTAATTTCAGTTACCTGAATTAGTTTGATCTTCATCCATTGTCACAACACCCTTATCAGTAGACTTTTTAGTAGCTGCACATAAAACATATCAACCACTATCAGAAAATTGCCTCTTAAAATAAAAACAGCACAAGTAATTAAAAAAAAAGTGAAAAGCTAAAAAAGGTATGTACCAAAATATGAAAATACGGTATGCTGTGACATGTATAATTTGGTGTCCACCTCTTCATGTTTCCTTTTCTTCCTCTTTAATGGTTTCTCTCTATGAGAATCATGAATACATGGCATTGACTTTGCACAATGACCTTCTGATTCAAAGTTTTTGTACTTTAACTGTTTTCTTTGATAATCTTTTTCAAGCTCTTTGTCATACTTCATGGCCTGTGACTGGAATTTCTGGATCTGTAATTCAAGCCATTTACAACGCCACATAATAGGTCGTATAAACTTCCTCCAATCAGATGTCACCCTTTTCTTCCTGAAAATTTATCATCTTTTTACATCAAAATCAAGGATTTGACAATCAATCCAAGTTAACTCAATACCCCCAAACTATCATAGTATCTGTTACCTTGGCATTAGTGCAGCATCCCCATGTAATTCTGACAAAACTTCATTGTCATCTTCATGTTCATGAATCTCAAGATCTGAAAACGTGTCATCAAAAGAACTTGAAGTGGCAGTATCATCATCCTCACATTGAGAATGATCAAAAGCATACTCGTGATCATTTGTACAATCTATTATGTCAACCTCCACATTCTCATTAATACAAGTTCCCATGCCTTCATGCTTATTTTCAGGTATTATGTTTTTATATTTCTGTGTTTGCATAGCAGACATATGGTCTTTACTAGTTGAAGCTTCCATTGTGGTATCTTTTCTTCCTTTAAGGTTCAGAACAGGACCCATGTTATGATATTAAACAGAAGAGATCATTCTTGTTTTAGAAAGGTATAACTAACAGTAAGTAAAGATGATTATCCCCCTGCAGCAAGAAAACACAATGTCATGTGGTGGAAAAACTAAAAGGAAAGTGGATAGAAAGTTGCACACAATACATATCAGTACAATTCTTTATTAGATTCCAAATTAGTACAACATAGTTTAAATTCCATCAGAAAGAAAGAAAGATAATCTTCTGAATTTAAAATCTGCTTGGAGCAACATGAACATGACATTTCATTGTTCTCAATATACCATTGTGTCAGTGATCAAAAAGGGATCTAACAGCAAGCTTTCTGTGGGAATCAAACATGTTAATTGCAACTTCAAAATTGATAAGAGATTAGAATATTTGAACTACAGAAATTCTGATTACGACACTAAACTTAATCACAAGCACTACAAATGCAAAAATGTTTGTGGCAAAAAACCAACAGATCCAGGAAAATTTTGCCACTTAATTACAAGGTTTCCCTTCAAACATCAAAGTGAGGGTTTTTAATGGAACAGGAGAATTACAACACATCATATCATGCCTATGGAAATAGCGAAAAAAACAGCATAAAATTGGTTACAATGCCACATATCACAAAACCCATTTCTAAATTAGGGTTTCGTGTGAATTAAATTAGGGTTTTCAAAGTTTCAGCAATCAAGATTTGGATGGCTTACCCTGAAAATAAACGAAATAATCAAATTGATACGATCAACCAAGCTTACTGACTATTTGAACAGATGGATTCCAAATCTAATCTTTTCTGTTTCTCTTTGAATTATGGTGAAAACAAAAGAAAGAAGTTTTTCCAACTCTACTTACTTGGTCCCTGGCAGCGTGGAGGGCGGCGAACGGTAGTAAATGGTGGCAGTGAACTCGGAGGAGAAGTTTGAAGTTTTCGGATTGATGAAAAGAAATCACAATTTCCGTCAAGAAAATCGTTGACTGGGAAATTGCAGGAGAGAGAGAGAGAGAGAGAGAGATGTGGAAATATTCTAAGCGGCAAATTGAATGCTCTTCTTTTTTTATTTTTCGTGGTAATTGTTACTCCGTCGTTTCAGAATGAAAACTTAAAGGGATTTATTACGTTTCCTTTTTTAAAGGATTTTTCGTTATTTTTATAAAATTTAATCTCTTTTAAATTTTCTTTTGAACGGCCCTCAATATCTTTTAATGATTGCAATAAATAAAAATAGGTTTTAATTACTTTTTGTGAAAAAACTATTTAAATTATTTTCTGAGTTGTCAATAAATTTAAAAAATTATAAGATTGTAATAATTCATATTTTCTAATAATTTATCTATTATTTCAAATTTATATGTTACCGGTTTTTGTTTTTCTATTGATGAGAAATTAGATATCTTTCTATATTTTCTTCATATTTATCTTTCTACCTATGTGAAATATTAACAAGTGTCATATTTTGATAAAATATTCATATTTTTAAAAGAATCATTTATGTCATACATGGCAATTTCTCAACACATTTCACACAAACTGAAATACCAAAAATGCCCCTTTTATCGTTTAAAATCACAGTGTAGTAATTTGAAGGTTTATTCCCCAAAAATCACGTTGCCTACATTTTATAAACTAGATATTAATTTAAATTCTAAAATTCTCAAATCCCTCATCAAATGGAAATCTTTTATTCAACCTCTAATAACTATTAATCAGCAAGATTTCTTCAATCAGTTGATAAGGAGAAATCACAACTTTTATATGATTACAATTTCACCTCTTCGACGAATAACGATTGCAGTTGTTACTAGAAATGATTTAGCCCTAAACTCGCCCCACGACGATTATTGTTGCTGATTAGTTCTTCGATTTTTTTTTTCGATTTTGTTTTGATTTGGTTCTGTAATTTGTAGTTTATAAATGTTCAATTTGTTATCATAGTTAACCAATTTGATTCATTTGTTTATAAAAAATGGTATTCTGTCTTGGGTTTCATTTGTTGGCATTGATGTTATGTTAGGTTGTTAGGCGCATCAAACCCAACACATCATAAGGGTACAAAACGACTCCAAATATACTGCTATTATGCACTAAATAGTAATACAAGGTAAGCAATGTCGATTCTCAAAGACACGGAACAGAAGTCTATACCTATTTGCGTAAGGTACAAAAAATGGTCATAGAAAAAGGGGGAGGGTTATGTGCAATGATTTAAACAAGAGAATAAAGGAATAAGTAAATGATCGATTAAATGAAACAAATTCAAGATTTGTGAGGACTCCAACTCTATGCATGACAATTTAGCAATGTGATTCCAAGGATGATATGATATCTACTCAATTATACCTAAGTTGGTACTTGAAAGTGTTAACAAGCTCTAACACTTCCCATTCACCAAGATGTCAAATTCAAAACAAGCTCTTTGAAAATAACATAACCTTCTAGTTTAAGTCTAAACAAGCTCTTAGATAGAAATCAAAAGGTTGCAATAACGTTTATGTGAATGTTCCCAACAACACCCAATACTCCTCACAAGCTCGGGAGCGTAAGAGTGTGTGAATAAGATTTACACTAAATTCATTCAATGGAACTCAATTTAGTGCTTGTTATTTAGTCCAATTTACAAAATAATTACGGATTTTGCAATTTAGATAACTTGATTGATCTAAACCTAATTTAAATGGCCAAAAATAAATAAAATTAGAATCAAACATTCGATTGAAACAAAATAAATTCACTAGATAGAAATTGAAAGCAAACATCAAGTCATATGATTGAAATCACAACCAAAGAGTCAAAACATAAAGTTGGAGAATCTAGGGTTCTAGCCATACATGACTAGAACAAGATCACAAGTCTAGAAAATGAAATTAAAGTGCTTACAAAATGAAATCAAATGTTCCCAAGTGTTAATCAACTCCAAAAGTCTCCACAAAATCGCCCAAAGTACTCCCAAAATCGACCCCCCCAAAAAATGAAGTCGGCTGCCACTTTTTAGAAAAGATGAGATACTACTACTAAACCCACGTCCACGTTTCCATGGTCCGCGTAAATTTTCACTGTCGTTTACATGGCCTGTGGAAAAACAAAAAGTTGGATGCAGCAGGTATATTTCCATGGCCCGTGGAAATTCAAGGCTAAAATTTCCGCGGCCGTGGAAATCTTTGACTGTGAGATTTCCTTAATTTTCTGCAACTTCTTCCTTTGTGACCCGAAAGCCGTCGAATCTTGTCTGCACCTTCTAGCTAGTTACCTCCCTAAGTGAGATCCCACCTCCAAAAGTCCCTGAAACATCATAGATTGTGCGAGTGAAATAATATAATGAAATATCCCGAAAACATGTAAAATGTATGGATTTAAGTCTAAATGCAATGCAATGGTGTGGAATAAAGGTGAAAAATAGGTGCATAAAATGCACCTAACATAGGTCAACTTGGTTTTAGTTATCAGATTTTCGATAAGGTTTAAACATAGTTGTTTATTTTATTGTTTGTCTGTTTAATCTTATATTCTATCTATTCGTGGCTTTATTCAATATCTTTTGTTTGATCTAGCAATTCGATAATAATATTATTCCCTATTCTGGTTGCTTACATCTGATTATTTTGACCTAAATAATCATAATAATTATTTTAACGAAACACTCTAAATTGGTTATCGTAACTTCAAATCGTAACAATCACATCCATTATATTTGCTCGGTTTGTAAAATTGGATCACATAGGCAACCATATTTAAGTTTTATAATCATATATGCTTTCAGATTTGTGTTACTTAGAGAGTATCAGTTCCAACAATCACTATTTCATTTGTGAATTGTACAATTTTTCATCGATTTCTTATAAGGTTCACATTTTTTGGTGTTTTTTCTATTTACCAGCTCTTGATTCATTAGTGTTTTTAATATATCGATATTCAAGGGTTATGTATAGGCGAACCCATTTCGGAAATGGTATAAATATTAGGAGATTAGGAAATGGTTCGAGGATATTCATTAGTTATAAGTTGATCACCAATTTTATGATGAAACTACTACAAGCGAATTTATAGTAAGGGATACTAGAGATTATGTTATTTGACCAGATGCCTTGCATTGTCGATTTGTTGACCACATACAACATGTCATTGGCTTTATTAGTCCAACACTTGGGCTTACCTTAACCATCTGAGTAGCCTATTCAGGTAATGTGTAAAAGCTAAATATGATTTTTGTATGATTATCTTTCTCATATGCTAAAAGTGATATTTTTATATTAGATAGTGGCATTTGATGAAAGTGGTTATGTTCGATGTTTCCACTACAAAGCTACATCAATCCCTTTAGATGATGATGAAACTGATATGCCTTTTGAGGTTACAAAGTTGCCAAATGAAAACTGCACCTAAATGTGTGTGGGAGGCTTAAGACAAAAACAACCAAGGACAATTTTGTCCAAATGAGAAATCTTCACCAGATTCTGCAAAAAGAGCTTCTAAACAGGACCAATACTAATTTTGTCCAAAGAATCCAAAACTACTTTATCACTTCCATATCGAACATAAGTTTCATTTTAAAATGACTATCTCCCAAAGTTGTCAAAATAATATGTGCTAAATATATGTTTGATTTGCATATGATATATTGATCGTAAAGGTTTGGAAAGTTGATGTGGCAAATCTACACTAATATTTAGTAAGATCGAATTCAAAAATATCATATTAGAAATTTTTATGTTACTCATTTTTTATTTAATTTTTCTTTTTAGTTTTGCAGACCCATGTAGTACACGAGTTATTATAACAACATGTAATAAAATTTTATAATTCTTTTACATGTGGTTCCCACAGGTTGTAACCTAGTTAATAACATTTTAAGACACTTGTCATTATTTCATATGGGTAAGAGAATAAGTAGAAGTAAAAGTATGAGGATATTTAATTTCTCTTTCTATTAACGTCATATCTCAATAAATTACGTAAACCCATTAGACCATCAAACCCCAAAATTAAAAAAAATAATAATAAAACAAATCGAAACTGTCATGAACCCTAAGTCTAAATCAGTGCAACGAAGCTTTGAAATCTTTCATTCAATTAAGGTTTGTAATCATGTTTTTTGTAAAACTCTTGACTTTAAGCTATCTTTTTCCGTATTACTTACATTGTATGTGTATTACATGAAGGATGGATTGATCAATATTGATGTTCACTATAAAAGTTGTTTTACTGTTGGATCCAAAAAGTATAAGTAATGTTTTAAGAATTGGTCCGGACAACAAACATGTTGTCTTACTGGTTCGATGGTTCAATTGTATAACCGGTCGGATCGGTCCATAAAACTCCATGATATATATATATATATATATATATATCTATTTTACCTTATAAAGCATCTTTGGTCAAACGCTGAATTTTAAGTCGTCCAAACAATTATGCAGCATGTACAAACCTTTTATGCATCATAAGAAATGTTAAACTTATCAGGTCAAATGAAAAAGTCAAAGATAAGAATTAGAGTATTCAGTTATACTTCACCGATTCAAACTTGAACTTGAGGAGTTTTAGTTAGATTCAAACTTGAATCCCAATTATCTCGGCCATGTCTTCTTAAATTCCTTCGATCTGCAGATTGTTCTAACTACCCAATTTTGGCACCTCATCTCTTTAAAATAAGGAACAAACATCACCGTCCCTACTAAACACCTCCGCTTTTCTCTTCTCTCGCATCTCTCCTTTAGAAACCCTAATATTAAACATCACAACCCACCAAGAGTAACCTTTGTCGTCACCTAACCTTCACTATCATCAAACAAGCCACCTTCATCACCATCAAACTTCATCTCACCACCGGTCACCACCGCCATCTTTCCTCAATAGCCAATGACATCTAGCATATGCTCCTGTTCTCTCATCATTTGACCTTGATTTCTATTTTTGAAGTTTTAATCTCATGTACCATTTTTGACCTAGATTTCTATGGTGTTTTAGGTATAATTGGTCGAAACCTCACCACCATCAAATCATTCAGCCTTTGTTCCTGCTAAAGAAAAAAAGAAGGGACTCTTCATTTGTTTTTTGATTTAACAACGATACATATTTCATCGCCGCAGATTTGCTGCTAGAGGCCGGACTCCGTCTGGGCTTTATTTAGGGTTGGAATGACATCTCTTTGATTTGATTTGGGCAAGGAACAGGTAACCCACATTTACTGTTGCCTCCTTTCTAAAAAAAATGTCACACTCTCCTTTCTATCACAAGAAAACCCTAACGGATCACCACTATGTATTTATTTGTATATATAGGCCCTAAGTCTCGGCCCTCTCCCTATATTCGTCTATATCTAGGCAAAAAGGGAATTGAATCATGGACACTACTCCTAAATCGATCTCAGTTGCAGCTGGAATATTCATCAGGAAGCATTTTCACATGATTCTGTTGTTAATCATGTTCCTCTTGATTCCCATTTTCTGTTTATTTCTTATTTGCATTTGTATTGAGATTGTTCTTGAGCTCATTCGTGGTTAAATTACAGATTTTAAGCTCTCCAAGAGAGATCCACCACCATGTGTCTGCCCTGTTGATTTAGGTCCATGGTTCACCCTGCTGATTCTTATGTGTTGATTCACATATGCGAAAAGAATGTTACATATGTGTATAAGAATGACTAGCTGTTTCCCACTACACATCACCAAAAACCTTCATAATGAAGAAAATGCTAAGGGAACAAAGAAACGTGATTCTATGGACAGATAAGGTGAAATACAAAATTATAACTTTTTTTTTCAGGTTCCAGGTACCTTTGTTTTCCGTCTATTTATTCATTGCCTGCTTATATAATTAATCATACAGGTGCATATTTCATTAGGTCTTAAAATTTTATTGTTTTTTATGATACATGGGCATACATGTTTATAAAAATCATTATTTTTACTTTCAAAAGGTTAAAATAAGTGAATATGGGAAGTCAAGATGAAGCTCAGCAAGATATGGATAAGAAATAGCACAATTTGGAACATATAAAGGTATACATATTTCTTTCTGCTATCATGTTGTTCAGAATTTGGATTTTATTCAAACTATTATTAATGTTTGGTTGACCTTTTTATTAAAGTATAGCTTAAGCTTTTTTTTTTTTTTATAGATGATTAGTTTCTATTTATCATTAGTGTTATCACACAATCCTTCTTATGTAGGATTTATTGGGATCAATTACTCACGCTTAAGGTAACAGTCTTGATCTAATTCTCTTTGAATTCAATTTAAGTGTAATTTGATCAGTTTCTACAATTTGTTCAATGTGTTGGCTTCCAATTTTCAGGTGCATCTATTTAGTTCTTTCCAGTTAAATCTATGGGTTGGTTCAGCTCCAGGGTATGTGTTGTTTTATTTGAACCTGTAAAAACAACACATTCTTGCAATGGGAAGCCTCGGTGAAAGGACCTGTGAAATTTGACTGATTTTGGGACTTAGTGTCTAGGGTGGTTGATGACGAGCTAGAAATGGTTGTGATCGAAAATACTGAAGAAGCTAGAGTGCTCCCTATGGATACCCTAGACCATAAAATGTAGCCATCATCTTTCACTCTCACCCTCCCCATCTTACTACACCACTCACCATGGCTTTCACCACCACCACCACAACATAAAACATCCTGGTAATTTTCATTTTTTTTTTCAAAATGTTGTTTCATTTTTTCTTTTATACTGATATTCTAAGTATTTCATGATGCTTGCAGAATTGGCAAATGAAAACCAGAATTGCATACATCTAAACTAAAGTCTTTGATTTCGGACATCAGAAGGAAATTCCATATGGTACATCATTAACCATAGCTGTTGCTCTCTTTGGTCTTTATTCTGGTAATCTCTTCCATCGTTTCTCTTTCTTGAGAATACACATATTTTTCAGCAGCACCAACGATTGCTCCAAATGGGGGTCTGATATGATATTGATGTTATTTGAATTTGATATGTTTTGTTATTAGAAGTTGCTTTATTCAAATAGTAGGTGGAGTTATGGCCTTCCTAATGGTCTTCATGCAAGGTAATCTCAACCTCCCAATAACATTGTTTATATTACTGACATGGAACAAGAAGATAATCCATTTAAGATACCTAAGGTTGATTTGATAGACACTATACTTACTAAATATTCTCCAAGTAACCGACATTGCAGGTTACAATAAGGACATCAAAGCATGTTGGGATTTGATAACAATGTGGTGTGCTCTTAGTATTTTCTTTGTGTTTAATATTCTTTTTGTTCATTTAATACATATTTATTATTTTAATTGAACCATTGCACTTTAAGTTTTTGATTTCTAAAACCACATAGCTTATGAATATGCAAAATTCTCAATAGTTTTGTGCTCATTATGTAATACCTCCTAATACATTTCCAATTGTCAGGTGCTTCCCATATAAATTGTGTTGAGACTCTTTGTTTAAGGGCAACAAGTATCATTGTATGTTGAAAAGATCAAGGAAAGTATTTTGTTTAGTCTGGTTTGCATATTGGAGTTCAAGTTGTAATTTTATAGTATATTGTTATATTTACTGTTTTGTATTTGATTTTACCACTAATTTTAGAACAAGAGTTTGTTCCATATCAATTGAATGCTTATTCCATAGTTTTTCTGCATATTTGATTGCCAAATTCTTTAATGATATTCTTAAATGTTAGTCAAGCAAATTAGCCTTTACGTTTCATTTTTATAATTTGTCAAAGATAGTTTTAGTAATGTTATGTCAATAAACTATACAGATTTAGTCAATGTTAATCGTGTAAAAGAAAGACTCACTTTTCACTAACGGTTCACATTTTATGGTGTTTTAATAAGGTCAAAGGAGTATTTGCTAAACCAATGTGTCTTTTGTGTTTAAGATGACGAATTAACAAATAGCCAAACTTTTTTACTATGATGATTTAGCAAAAAAATTATTTTGTAATTAAATGGAGTAAGACTTATCTTTTTCTATGTTTAGTGAAGAGTGATTCGACTAATATGTAGGTTTGTATTCAATTGTATATGTTTTTTAATTATTAAAATATAAATTAGTATGTGGTATATCTTAACCAATCCATATAAGCATTAATATAATTAAAAATAAATTAAATATACTTTAAAAAAATATATATATTATTAAAGACATCACTTAAAACTAACGAAATGAAATGTTAAAAAAACCAGTTCAAACCGGTGGGATCGGGAACTATTGACGAGAGGGCTTCAACAATAACCACTTTTATGCCAAAGTCCAAATAAGATTGAAACGGACGGTTTCCTTAAAAACATAATTGGACCGATATGATGGAATCGTTAAAAAACCCTTTGAGTCGATTTATTGGACTTTAATAGTTGGATTTCATTTAGCCTTTTAAAAAATACAGACCATTTTCAAAGCAAATTTAACAACTTGGTTGACCAAATTAAGAGGTGTAAACAACTTGTAGATCAACACACACCATTACCAAACATAAGAAAATTCTTGGTTTAATGTATTTATATCTATTATCTATTTACTTTATTAAACATTTACCACTTTTAGGACAAAAAAACATCGAAATAAATCTTTTATCTGAATTTGTGAAAAAAAAAACTAACCGCAATTATTCACACCCGTCGCTTAGCGCGGGTAAACGGCTAGTATATATATATATATATATATATATATATATATATATATATATATATATATATATATATATATATATATGGGAAAACTGAATATACCCTAGAAGGTATATAAGGTTAGGTACTCAAACTTACCATACTACATCGTTATATATAATATATACATTGTAATCGTCCAAAGGTCTTAAAGTTCAACTCCTAACTTGATTTACTTCCAAAATTTTTAGAAATTTCACCATTATCTTCCTCTTACATAATTTTATTTGCAACTGTAATATATATATATATATATATATATATATATATATATATATGTTGGTAGATGTTCGGCAGAAAGATGTGATGTAAGAGGAAGATAATAGTAAAATTTCGAAAATCTAGGAAGTAAACCAAGTTAGGGGTTGAAATTTAAGAAAACTGTAATTATTATATGGGGAAATCTCCAGAAAAGTCTTAGTATTTTAGTCCAATTTATGAAAAATTCTCAAACTAAATTTTGTTTACAGAAAAGCACAAAATACCGGCTAAAACTTCAAAAAAAACATTTTTGGCCGGTTTCGCAGATTTATCTGGTATTCTATCCTTTTTTGTTAGTTTGGTCAAAATATTGGGATTTTTCTGAAAATTACCCAATAACCAAAATATTTGGACTTTTCTGAAAATTACTGGAACATCCCAAAAATTACAACAAATTTAAACTTTTCAAAACAACCCATTTACTAAGAGAAGTGTTTACAAAATCATTGTTTCCAAAACATTATTTAAAATCAGAGTCTCCCAAGATCCAATCAGTCGTAAAACCAAGGATATGTACGGTCACGCCTTTGCCTCTCCACGGTCCTCTGAAGTACCTGAAACAAAATTAAAACTGTAAGCCAACGCTTAGTGAGTTCCCCCAAAGTACCACCATGAAAACATAACAAATAATGGCATGCACTGAGTCCACAGCTCAAAGACTGGATTACCTCTGAGCCCACAATATGAGTCTGGCTTGCCTATCGGGCCCACAACTCATATCTGGCTCGCTCCTGAGTCCACAAAATAAGTCTGTCTTTCCCTCGGGGTCCACAACTTATGTATGGCTTACCCCTGGCCCAATCAGTCTTCGAACTGGAATGCCAATATACATTGGTTCCACTCAGTCATCAGACTGGAATACCTCAAGCCCTCAGTACGAGTCTGACATACCAACCGGCCCTCAGCTCGTATCTGGAATGTTGTCGAGCCCTCAGTATGAGTCTGGCATGCCAATCGGCCCTCGGCTCATATCTAGAATGCTCCCGGGTTGGTTGGCTACAACACAAAGCAATACAACCTCAACCCAACACAATATGTCGACATAACTGATAACAAACATAAGCAATAGACAAATAATCATGCAGACAGAAATCACAGGTAGTCCTAAAGATCTACCAGTCTATGCATATCAACAACTATCATATAATTATGCAGATCTATCCCATACTTAGCATATCAATGTATATCAGGATATCAATCCAATGGGCTCACCTTGATGCCTTCGACCCGTAAGTATAGTGAGGAAAACTCACTTCACAGTCTGAACGATAGCTGAAGAGGTCTTGACTCCGAATCTCAGCTCTAACTGACACTTATTCATCCAAATGACCAATTCTCAAACACCATTCAAAATACCCAAAATACCCATTGGTCAAACTTGGTCAGAGTCAACCCAGCCGAGTCAACACAGAATGCATACGCGGGGCGTACTCGAGCATTGACCACCACCGGGGAGGTTGACCACGTACGCGTTGCGTACTCAGATTATGCAGGGCGTACGCCTAATCTTCCCAAAAACACATTAAGAGCTTAATGCCTTAAGCTCTTACATCTATCTTTCAAATCCAAGGCCAAATCCTCCTCAAGAGTTATAAAGTTTCCAACTTTATGACTTTTTATGTCCATTAAGTGCTTAATTCAACATCTTAATACATTAAGACCTTCTAAAGAATGCATGGAGAAAAACCAACCATTAAGACCCCATTTTTATGACTCAAGACCCTTCCTAAGGTCTAAAAGGACGGCTTAATGGGTCAAGAACATTTTGTTGGATAAGGTGTCTAAGTCCATGACTATATTTGAGATGTACTTGACCCGACCCGGCATGGTCCATTTGGGTTGCACTTCACCCGAACAATTTATATGGATAATCTTTTGAGAATAGTATAAGTTATGATTTATTAATATATTATAAGTTCTAATATATTAATATGAAATCATATTATTTAATTAGTATTGATCTAGAATTAATTTAGAATTAATTTGGTGATAAAAAAGGTGACTAATTAAATATGGACTCTTGTATTTATATAGTGTGGGCTAATGCTTATTTAGAATGGGATAGGCTTGCATGGTAAGTCCATGGAGCTTTAACCCATGGATCTCATGGAAATGAAAGGTCATGGGTATTAGGGTTTACATGGATGTAACCCTAATCCACCACACTATATAAAGAAGTCCTTGGAACTTGAAATTGCACTAGTTTTATGTGTGTGAACTAAGGGTGGCCGATTTCTAGAAGTGTTCTACTATTCTCTCAAGTTTCCAAGGTTTGTGGTGATTTGTGACTTCCATTTGAGGCATCCACATTATTGGTGCTAGGCTCTCAAACTCCAAGCAATCAACCACTACTAAAAGGTATGTAACTCTACTAGCTTATTATGTTTCAAAGTTCCCCATGCCATGCTAGTTAGGTTAAGAACCTTGGAAAAGCAAATTTGCATGTATCTTAGTAAAACATAGATCCAAGGTTTCTAGGGTTGCATGTACACCATAGGAGTGTTAGAATGCTCAAAACCCATCACATTTCATGCTCAAGAATCACCATTTTAGGAAAAAAAAAGTGACTTAAAAGAGTAAAATGTCTTGATCTACAAGATGGAGTGGTAAAGTTGCAAGCTTTATACCTCCTGGAGGTTGCAAAAAAGGAGAAAAATTCAGATCCAAAGTGCTTCCCAAACTCCAAGCTCTCCACACCACTCTCCTCTTCTTTAAGTACACCTCTAATCACTCCAAAATGCTCTCTTTCTCTTAGGGTTTGCTCTCTTTCTCTTAGGGTTTGCTTGGGGATCGATTTCACAGAAAGAGGCTGAATAAGAATAAAATGTTAGGCTATAATGATGCTTAAATATGAGCCAAACCCTAAAAATTAGGGTTTGCATGAACCTCACATACGCCCTCCGTGTGAGGTGTACGCCCAGCATACTAAGGCGCGCCCTAGTACACTTAGCGTACACACGTACGCTCAGTGTACTCCCAAATTCCTAATTTACCAAAATATCAATATAAGGGTCAACAATGAAAGTGCCTCAAAACAAGATGTTACAATTCTCACCCACTTAACTTAGACTTCGTCCTCGAAGGATGTTGCAGTAACTAACCCAGGGTAGTGTTTCCATATCTCCACCTCGGGTCACTCAGACGGTCCTCCCAATAACCCGATCCGAACTAAAAGTCGGCTCATTCGGGCGACTGTCTACCCATACCGTCCTTGACTTGCTAACTTTCATCACTGGAGAAACCATCACAAGCCTCCCAAAATTTGGAAATCCAATACACTAACTGACTCTTAAGCAAGCAAAACTATCTCGGGACGCAGTTATTATGATATCTCTTTACAATCCATACAATACAGAACCCTTTCGACCCTGACTTACCTTGCTGATTCCACTGGGGGATCAGGACTCCTGACCATTCTCTGCTGTTAAACCCTTCATCCGAAAACAAGGCGACTCCAAACACGAGCCTCAGCTAGATAACTACTTCAAAGAGGCACAAACAACGCTAACATATTCCACAACTTCCTGGCTAAGACCAAATGTCTAGAGAGATCCACAAAGTCGGGGACTCTCAAGG